GGGGTGTCTGTGGGGATCCTGTGGGGTTCGGAACAGGGATGTAATGGGACCGGAGAATCCCTCTAGGGATCCTGGAGGGCCTGAAAGGGCTGAGGGACAAGAGAGCTGCAGCTCCCCTGTGTCCCACCCTGCTGTCCCCCCGGCTGTCCCTCCGGCTGTCCCCCCCCTATTGTCCCCCCGGCTGTCCCCACCGTTACAATAAACCCTTTTCAGAGCCCCCGTGCCCCCGGTCCGTGCCGTGTCCGGAGGGACCCGCGGGATGAGGCAGCCGGGACGAGCCCGGTGTTTGCTCAGGGAATTGGCGGCGGCTGCTGCCGGGGGGGTCACCCGGGGGTCCCTCCCTGCGCTCGGTGCTGACGTCCATCCCACCGCTGCCTGGTGGCTCCTGCGTCCCCAGGGTCGCGTTTCCCGGGGCTGTGTCCCCCTCTCAGCCCGATGACGGTGCCGGGATTCGGGGGAACACAGGCGCCCCGTCTGCGTCACCGGGTGTTTGCCCACACCRCGGGTGGGGGCGGCTCCGGGGGGATAAAACTGAGACCAGCGCACCCAGGAGCAAACAGGGACGCGTCTGGCGCTGGGAACATGGAACACGCTCCGCTCTGCCTGCTCTGCCTGCTGGGCTCCGGCCTCATCGTGCTCGGCACCCCGGAGCCGGTACCGGGGSTCCGGCCCACCCTGAGCCCGCCCGGGCAGAGCCGGGAGGAGACAGAGCTGGTAAGGGGCTGGGGGAGAGGGGAAGGGGATCCCCAGGGCTTCCCTGCGCGGTTTTGGGACATTTCGAGATGCTCCTGTTACCCCCATCCCGGTTTGGGGCCGTGCCGGGGGGTCCCTGGGGAATCCCTGGGGAATTGGGGAGGGGGAGAGCGAGACGCCACCGCTGGTTTTGTGCTGCTGCTGTGGSGTCCTCGGAGGGCTCCTCGCAGCAGCGACAACAGGGACATCCCGCAGCATGCAGGAACTGCTGTTTTGGGACATTTTGGGTGGGTTTTCCTTTTCTGTCCCATCCCAGCTGCTCCGGTTCAGCTGCAGGGAGGGTGGTGGGTACCGGAGGGGGGGGACTGGAGCTGCACCCATGGGTGGGACGCATCCTAAGGACAAATCCTGAACCTCTGATCCCGGCCTAGCCCCGATTCCCGAGCTGGATGAGCCAGGGACAGGGTGGGGATGGGACAGGAACCTGGGGGACTCGCGGTGACAGGGAACCAGAGCTCCTGGGTGTCCCGGGCACTGGGGGTGACACGGATCGAGAGTTCCCCGGTGTCCCGGGAACTGAGGGTGACACGGATCGAGAGTTCCCAGCTGTCCCGGGGACTCGGGGTGACACAAATCTAGAGCTCCTGGGTGTCCCTGGAACTCGGGGTGACACGGATCGAGAGCTCCCGGCTGTCCCAGGGATTCAGGGTGACACAGACCGAAAATTCACGATTGTCCCGGGGACTCGGGGTAACACGGATTGAGAGTTCCCCGGTGTCCCGGTCACTCGGGGTGACACGGACCCAGAGTTCTGCACTCGGGGTGACACGGATTGAGAGTTCCCCGGTGTCCCGGTCACTCGGGGTGACACGGACCCAGAGTTCTGCACTCGGGGTGACACGGATTGAGAATTCCCGGGTGTCCCGGTCACTCGGGATGTCCCGGTGCTGTCCGTGACAGGTGGAGGTGCTCCAGGAGGTGCTGGAACAGTTGGGATCCCGGGAGCCGCCGGCGCTGGAGAAAAGGCTGAGCTGGGTGCCGTGGGTACGGCGGGGCTGGGGGGCGGTGGGTGCTCGCTCGGGGGGGTTCAGGGGGTCCCCAAAACCCCGGGGCTGACGGTGCCGTCCCGCAGTGCGAGCCCGGGGAGCCGTGCGCGGTGCGGCGCGGGGCGCGCATCGGGAAACTCTGCAGCTGCCCCCGCGGCACCTCCTGCAACCTCTTCATCCTCAAGTGCTCCTGAGGGATCGGGGACACCGCGGGACACCGGGGGACACCGAGGGACAGCGGGGACACCAGCTGCCACCCTCCTGTGCCCCGGGCAGGGGAGGGAAGCGGAGCCGCGTGTCCCCAGCGCCCTCCCCGCTCCGGGATGGAGCAGCACAGCACCCTCGGGTGTCCTGGCCCGTGGGGCTGGCGCTGTCCAGGCACACATTAAAMCGTTGGATTCACGCCTGATGCCTGATTTTATTTAGGATTTTGAGGTTCCAGCCCCCTTTGCCGCTGGGCAGGGTCCTGGGAGGGGCGGTCCCATTGTGTTGTGGGCACGTCGGAGGCTGGGAYAGGGAGCAGGGGTCTCGTCCCGCTGAGGGTCCATCGGAGGCCGGGCTGGGACGTGGGACAGGGGCAGGAATGGGAACGCTGCGGGATGGGCGGGGAGTTGAGTCCCGGATGCTCCCGTGGTCCCGGCACCGGTGATTCCCGATCCCCTGGAGGTGGATGGATGGATGATCCGAGGGCAGGGGGACGCGGGGCTCGTACGGCCCGGCCTTGTCCCATAT